TGGTAGGTTAGAATGACCAACGTTTCAGTTAGCACCTGAGGACTTAACTAACCACTGCATCAGGCTGTCAACTGAAAGGTTGGCAGGTCAAGTTCACCCAGAGACATCTTGAATGAAAGCCTTGGCGATCTACTTCTGAAAAGTCAGCCATCACAAACCCTAAAGAGCTCAGTTCCACTGATTCATATGAGGTTGCTTCATTGGGAAGTGACTCCACAGCAACCTTTTTTTTCTTTTTGAAATGTTACATTAGCAAAGTCTAGTTTTAAAATTATTAGGCAATGTTAGTGGTTGACTAACATCTGACACTTAAAACTCAAAATCTAAATTTTTAACTTTAATGATTTCTGTGATTCACTCCTAACCAACAGAATAAGGCAAAGGAATAGGAGGCTACTGCCTTATTATATAGACTCCAACTCCCTAGCAGACATTTGCTAGTCTTTCCCTCTGTTACTGGCTTCAACAGGCAATGTGCCATGAGTCTTACAACCACAAGGAAATGAATTCTGCCAACAATCTGAGTCAGCTTGGAAGCAGAATCCCTCGCCAGATGAGCCTCCAGGTAAGACCCCAGCCCTTGACTTGGGCCATACCTTGACTGATGTCTCACAGAAGATCCAGCAAAACCATGCCTGGGCTTTTGATCCACAAACTGTGAGGTAATATTTGCTGTTTTAAGCCACTAAATTTACAGTAATTTGTAATGCATCAACAAAAAAAACAAATACCAATTTTGGAACCAGAAATGGGTGCTGCTGTAACAACTGCCTGAACATGTGGGAGTGGCTTTGGAACCAAGTGGTGAGTGGGGGTGGGAAGAATTTTGAGGAGAAAAATAGAGAAGCAGTATGCTGAAAATGTAAAACTTCCTTGGTAGCATACATTTTTATAATGCAAAAGCACTTATTGCTGCTGAGGACAGAGAAATGGGAGCATACCAGTGTTTGGTTTAAAACTGTTCTCCTAGATACAACCTCGATGAACACAAACTAAACTGACCTGGTACATGCAGTCCGTGAAAGGTCACGTACATTCTCGCATCATGAAGGGTTAATTTTTCTGCATGTGTTTTGACTGGCCATAAACACAATGAAAACCAGGTTTCAGCTTCTAGAAGAGTATGTAGCAAAGATAGCAAGGACAAGCTGTTAACTGCCTCAGAGATAAGCGATAGGGATCTGAATTACTCGTAAGACATAAGACGAAGATATGGGGAGACATCTAACAATATTCTGAAAGGGTATCTGTCCTTCCAACAGGGAAAAAAAAAGAAAAAAAAAACCCCAGGAAGTTAGGTAAAGCATGACATGATAGGAAATGCCAAAAAGCATAGGAGTTAGATTGGCAGGGAGTAACAAAGTCTTAGTCTCTGGTGGGAGAGGAGTGGGGAGTTAACTACTTGCTGGAACATGCTGCAGGGGCCACTGTACAGAGTCTGCAATCTGCCTTTGTTTAGCTACAGAGTGAAGTGCAAGTGAGAGGGTATCTCTTTGGTAGATTAATAGCACCCAACAAAATTAAATTTTAGAGTAAAGCCCTTTTATCTTATACAAACCTAAAACTTTGGAAAACAAGATTCTGTGACAACTAGTTATACTTTATAAAGCCTTTGTAGGCAAACATATGTATAATACATCACACAGACACACTTATGTATACATGTTGTTGTTGTTATGTGCCGTCGAGTTGGACCTGACTCATAGAGACCCCTCCTTGGGTTTCCAAGAAAGTATCACTATGGAAGTAGATTGCCCAACCTTCCTTCTGAGGAGTGGCTGGTGGGTTTGAACCACAAGCCTTCTTGTTAGCAGTTAAGTGCCTTAGGCACTATGCTACCGGAGCTCCTCATGTATACATATATATAAACCATACCAAACTCAATCAATGCCAGGAATTATAGTGACCCTATAGGACAGAGTAAAACTGCACTATAGGGTTTCCAAGGCTGCATATCTTTACAGAAGCAGACTGCCTCATATTTCTCCTGTGGAGCAACTGGGGGCGCTTTGAACCACTGACCTTCTGGTTAGCAACTGAATGCTTTAATCACTCTGCCAGTAGAGCTCATATATGTGTATGTGTTGCTGTTAGTTAACCATTAAGTTGACCAAACACTGCCTGATCCTATGCCATCTTTAGGATCATTGCTTTGCTCAAATCCACTGTTGTGGTCACTGCATATTGTGTTTCACCCCATGGGACTCATTTTCTTGTCCTATATTAGACATGCTTCTGTTGTGATCCATAGGGTTTTCTTTGGCTACTTTTTTGGAAGTAGACTGCCAGGCCTTTCTTCCTAGTCTGTTTTAGTCTGGAAGCTCTGCTGAAACCTGTCCATAGTGAATGACCCTGCTGGCATTTGCAGTGCCAGTGGCATAGCTTCCAACATCATAGCATGCAAGCCACCTCAGTATGACAACCTGAAAGATGTGTGGGTGGATATGTATGTATATGTGGATGTGTGTGTGTGTGTGTGTGTTATTTTGGAGGGAAGGATATTGAGTATATGTATGTATACACACTGCCAAAGGCCCTTAGATAACGCCTTGCTGTGAGGAAAGTATAAGTTTCATTTCTTCACTATTTCCAGTATCTTGAAAGGCTCATGCACTGCAGAGCAGTCTGTAAAAACAAAGGACATCTCTATAATGCAGATTAGTGAGGCTTTTGATGTTATGCAGATGTTACCTCTGGGCTAAATATTAACAACACTGAAATTATTAAGCATAGAAAATTAGGGTTTTAAGTGCATTTACCATTTTTATTTCGCTATGCAGAAACATACATTCACCATGGGTTGTGATGCAGTTGACAGTGTAATGGACAATATATCTTTTTGAAGGCTATTTATAACTAAACACTAAATAGTTTAATTACAGTGGAAATTCTGTACAGTTTAAGGCTTGGCTCTGACTAGATTGTAAATATGGACGAAATTTGGAAATAAAACACCCCCCCCCCAAGTAAAAGAAGAAAAGTAATTGAAAAAAAATAGAAGGAAAGAGAAATGAAGAAAGAAAAAGCAACAAAAGCCAACAGGTTTATGCGGAGTAAAATTTTGTAATATTGTAAACAAACAAAAATACAGGTTTTCTCCCCAACATAGTGACAGTTTACATATTTAGGACTTGTTAGGGTACTCTGGGAAGCTTTCTGGATTGAACACAGACCAAAGCAGATGACAAGGAAGATGTCACATTAATATGCTGAAACCAGTACTACCTTTTAAAAATTAAATTAGATTCACAAAGCAAGATTGTAAGCATTAAACATTTCCACAGGATCAGAGAGCTGTTATTGTTTATGGGTGAGAGTAATAAACCAGGTGAAACAAGTACAAGATTCAAGTTGTTTACTGAATAAACTCGGTTATTGGCACATCTAATCTGTGATAAACATGACACGCCAGACCTATACAGCTTCTAGCATTTCAGGATAATCTTCATTTATCTGTAAACAAAAGATTTGTCACCTAAGAAATTGCAGGTTTGTTTAGACTTTAATAATAATAAACTATGAAAGGCATGGATTGTTTATGTGTTACATGAGATCACCGTTTATATTGTTGGTTATGAACGTGCAGGTACGGCTGAAAACTTAGACATTTTGTGAAAATTAAAAGTGCTGCTCTTTTGTAATTGTATTGTTGCTTCATGCAATATCGGTTTAGTGATGCTGATTTGGATTGCTTTATTATGGGAAGATCTCTCTGCCAGTGTCTTTATTAATGGTCAAGGTCAATTCTTCTGGATTGAAATTTTCCATGGACAGATACAAGTCAGTTGGGTTAGAAGAGGGAACTCCATATAGGCTCTGGTTTTTCTAATGGTTTGCATGATGGGATTCATGTGGAAGCTAAGTTATTCCTGTAGAAAAGAGATTCAATAAATTACTCATTTGGAAATACTCAAGAGTTCTCAGATCAATGTCACAAAAAAAGTATCTTACAGGATACTAAATGCTCCACTAGACAAGATGGGGTTCCAGTTCAAGTCACTGCTGATGACAGGCTTTCTCTTAAACAATTATTCCAACATCACCTCAGTGGCTGAAGCTCACTCAAGAAAACCTTTTTGTTTGCTTGCCATCTTCCAAAATATATCAGTAACTTTAATATAACAAGTGATTTTTGTATTTCTTTTTTCTCAAGCCAATACTGGAGAGCTTATTTTTATTTCATTTATACATGTAAAATGATTAAGAGTCTCTGAACATAAAACCAAGTATGAAAGTAGCTCAGCTGTTGCAATCAGCATTCCAAGGCCTCCAGGGATGCTTACAGCCCCACAAGCTTTGGCAGGAGGGTTAGTATGCGTGACAAGTTTGTGCACACATGGAAGACATGGCCTGCTCATGGGGCTGGCCACACAGGGACTGGGATGGCATGCACTTTCTGGAGGAATGCAGGGCTGCATGACCGCATTTATGCCTCCTCCTGCAGCACAACACTACGCTAGGAAGAAACAACATCCCAACACATACAGGAAACATACGAAATTCCAAAAGAAAGTGACCACTCCAGGTTTCAAATGAAAAAGAAACAAAACTAAACCATAGACGAGCTCTCACCAATGTTACAGGGAAATCTTACAATGGGATAATGCTGCTATCAAAAGGAGAAAGGGGTCTGTTTTATTTATTTCTCTAGTAATTGAACACACACACTGCACACATCTCAGATGAAAGTGCCTTAGTTCTCATTAGGCCACATTAAGAATCAAATTGGACATTTCAGGTTTGGATAATGAAAGAGTACAGAGTCTTTTCTTTAGTCTCTAACTGGCAGTATATGCAAAATGTCCTTGAGTATGGAACCTCTGAATCTGAAACAAATCAACATCCAAAAACCAATTCTCCATCCTCTTGGTGACCAGCCCTCCAACTGCCAGTGAGAGGAAAAGGAAAGGGAGGAGTCAGGTGAAGGAGGAGACAGGATGGCCCATGCTGCATGCCAGGCTAGGCCAAGCCTAGAAACCAGTGCTGCCTCTTACCTGCAGTCAATCCTCTCCATCTTCGGGTGTGATCTCGATCTCTTTATGGACCACTACTTTGGTCACTGACATGTCAGGGTGCTGCTCTTTGGCCTCTTTAATTGCCTGAGCCAGCGCCTATCCCCAGGAAATCACATAAGGGCAAAAACAAAAAGGAGGTGGAACATGCATGATCAGTAGTAAGGTGGAGACAAATGAGCTAGATCTATAGCCACAATTTACAAATGAGGTACAATGATTACAAAATAGGAATCGTACGTTGTATACTGGAAAGTTAATTCAAAAGTTCTTTTAGAACACATGCTGGATTGGAAGGATTGTATTGAGAACAGTAAGTCTAAGAAGTTTTTCTTTGTTTCTCTGCCAGGGTTATTTACTGTCTCACACATACTACCTGGTCATGGTCAATGTCTGCATCCCCGGTGATGACTATTCGCTTCTCAATTCTTGTCTCTGAAATGCCTCCTTTTGCAGTCTGAAAGGAACAAAGGCAAGTTTTATGAATTTACTTACCTGGAGGAACTGTCATTATTCAATGGGGAGAAATGGCAAGAAATGCTCATTTTTAAGTAACATCACTCAATCTTCGAGAATCAAAATAGAATTCAATGGCAATTACTGAAAATTGTTAACAGAAGTTAGAATATAGTGGAGTCTTTTCCGTTGGGGCAACCTGTGCTCCTGGAACGCCTACGGTATGCCAAGCACTAGGCGAAGTGCAAAGGATATCAGAACACCTATTCCTAAAGAGAAAACAGCACATGAGGACAAGTTCATCATCAATATTGTAGCTGTCAAAGCTCTCCATACTTTCCTCCTGGCATCCTGACAGTCAAGGGACTGCTTGCTTATAATGCCCTGTCAAAAGTCCTGAATAAATGTCTTCCTCCAACTTCAAGGAATGCTCATATTGGTTCCCAATTCACTTACTTTGGTGATATGGGTGGTGGTTGTGGTACTGGTAGTTTCCGAGGTGATTGTCTGTGCACTCATCAGCACGCCCGGCTCCAAATCAGCACCAGTATCCACCTACACCGTCAAGGGGAGAGAAACCACGCCCAGGTTACTGCATTACCTTTTCTGAAATGCACCAATGTTCACTGAAGGCACTGTTGTTAGCTGTTGTCCAGTCATCCTCAACTCAAGGTAAACCCACACACAATGGAAGACGCTGTCTGGCCCTGCACCATCCCCATGACGGGTACAAATCGGACTGTTGTAATCCACCGGGTTTGTACCGATTTTTGGAAGCAGATCACCAGGTCTTTTAGGGTGGTGGCTATGTATGAAGTGCACGGGTTGGAAACAGAACCCGTGTCTCCAGCACAAAAGTTGAGAATTCTACCATGGAACCACCCCTGCTCCATAATTTCAGGTATTATGGTTATTTAATTATCCCCACAATCACTGTACTTTTCCATCAGCATCCTGGGGCTGCTGCTAAGAGTAAAGACTCAGCTAAGTGGTGGTGAACAGTCACCGTCAACTGTCATGAACACCAGAGCTTCAGAACTGTTTATCTCTGTTTAAGGAAATAGGTTTTGCAGCTCTTTTCTACATGTTGAGATATATGAATACCTTTTGATGTCACCTGCTGCTCCACAATCAGTAATAAAATTACAATTATTGCTTTGTTCTTGATAGAGAGACTGGTTGTTGGCTCCTTGAAGTCTCACTTATTAAATATCATATAGTTAAACTACTAAGCCATAAAAGTTACAGACTTGTCTTACCTGTGATGATTCATATGTTATGGTTTTTGTTTCTGTATGAACTACTGGCACTTCCTTGGTAGAAATTTCTGGCTTTACACCTCCTGGTGAAACACTGCCAAAACTGATGGTTTCTGTCTTCACAGTTGATGACTGTGCCAATGAAGCAAGCAGAGTGGTTATTACAGTTTGCAGAAATACGAGAGTTTTGGGTCCTCCACCCCCGGTGACTATAAGCACTGATTAGTATGACATAAATGTTTATGTATTACATGAGGGGTAAGTCAAGAAATAAAGCACATAGAGACATATGTCAAACAGGCTCCCAAAATTTCATAGTTTTTATATGGGATGTCCCAGGTAAAGTATTTTGAAGGAAATTAAAACAAAATTTTCGTTTGCATGTTCCTCCTCCTCAATCTCATGAACTAAACCTGACAAGAGTAAAACCCATGCCATTTATATAGTAATTTCTCAGAAAGCAGGAATAAAAAATATTATCTCACAAAAGAGTTTAAGGATCCCAATAAAAGAGGACTGAGACTAAGTACAATCCTGGCTTCTGGCACCCAGGCAAGCATGGTTTTTGGTCAGTCTGGATACGTACACTCATGAGAGATAAATTTATCAAGTTTTAAAGTACTTCAGCCAGCTATGCATTCCTCAGGTTCACTGCCAATTACAGTAATTATGAGACTAGACATCATTTCCTGGAACTTTACATTATTAATAATCAAGATATATGTTTGCATGTGGCCTGAAGGATGGACACCAGCATGGAGATCTGTGATTACCAAGAAGAAGAAAATAAGAGGAGAAACAAACTGCACTTCAAAAGAGAGAGATATTTAAACTTAGATCAGTAAGTTCAATAACAGGTAGAGCTATGAGTTTTACTTTCGTGTTAAAAGTAGTATCAACTACTAGTTACCTCAAAATGAGGTTTTTGTTCCAAAGTCTCAGAAATGTGGATGGCTGCACTCTGCTCCTCTTCTTGCTCATGAGAAGCAGTGGCTACTTCTTCCTGTTCAAGGACGGTTGTATCAGCCGTCTCCCTTTTCTCCTCTTTAGTCCCCTCCATCAGAGCAGAGCCCTCCTTCCCTTTAACGCTAGAAGCCTCAGATGCTGCCTGTGCTGCAACATCCATGTCATCTCCAGCTGCGTAAGAAGCATCCCCACTCGCGTGCACATTCATCAAGTGTCTTTCTTCCACCAACACAGTCTCCTGCACAACCTTGTCAGTGCTAAGTGGCTGGTGGCCCTGGGTTGTTTCTGTCTCTGTTTCACTGGAGTCCATCTTGGTTTCCATTTTCTGCATGAAAAAAGACAGTGGTGTCAGTGTGACTCTTCACAGAGCAAAGATGAAAAAAACTAAAGAAGCCATTCACCAGTATGACTGAAGCCAGTGCCAAGTGTGTATAGCCAGAAATACTGTAAATTACTATTAATTAAAGTAAGTATTAATTAAATTAAGTACTAAAAATAGTAAATGTAAGTTATTTTTCATGCCTCCCATCAGAATTTTTGATGCATGCCTGCTTGCTGCTCCTGACATACACACACTTGAATCTATGCTGCTGAAAAGATCCACAAAAGAAACATAATGCAATATAAAATGCACTTAAAAAAAAAAAAAAAGCATCATAACACATTTTGCATTGGTTTTGGTTGCTTTCTTAGACTCAACAGATGAGACAAAATTCTTTAAAAACGAAATACTATTACAATGCTTAACACAATTATCTTTTGAATATCTGAAGTACATTCTCAAAATGGAATTAAAAGCATATGGTAGACAGCCCAAGAAAGCACAAAAGAAAATAACTGATGATCATTTTGAGGTGCTGACGGTAAAGCCAACTGCATGCAACACACACATACACACACACACACACACACATCTAAAAAGCATACAAATAGGCAAATGACAGTCAGATACATGAAGGATGGAATCAAATGGCCACCTGAACCCAAGTTTGAGTGGAAGTAACCCCTCCTATGAATTCTGTTGGCTTTCTCGCAGACTCTAATAAACTGAAGATCTCAGAGCCATCCATGAGTTTTTCACCAGAAGATTGTTTAGTCTGAGTGAACCAAGAAATGGAGAGTCAAGTACAAGAGGTAGACACATACACATTCAGAGACTGTTAGACAAAACTGTAGGCAGAGGAATAAGGGTGGAGGAATGAAGGAATCTAAGATACAGAGATTGGAAACAGAAAATAATGGGAAATAAAATAGCAAATTGAGGTGACCATGAGCTCTTTTTTAGGAAAAGCAGAGAGAGTTATTGGGATTGGAGTGGTGCTGGTGTAAGCAGATCATTTTTCCCTTCATTGCAAGCCACAGCAGCACTATTACATCTCGGAAACAGGGTGCTGGAAATAAAAGTGTTTTAATGCCTATGCCAGACTGCGGTACTGATTTAACCATGAAAAAATAAAGAAGCTGGGTTGGCTGCTCTCAACATAAAGCCAAGCAACAAGAGAAACAGAAAGGTTCAGGGTAGAAGGGCACTGCCTCAAAACAAGTCATGCTTGAATCTGAAACTGTGGCCCAAATGGAAGCCACTGGTTACCACCACTCGAGAGGAGGTCGACTCAGAAACGTAATGGGCAGTAGCAACAGTAATGGTGGGCTCCTGGGAGTATCTCCACTCAGACAGACTCTTCTTCCTGGGACCAAAGAGTCCCACTTGCAAGACCTCGGTCTCAGGGACCTGCTCTGTTTTGCTGAATCGCATGCTTTCCAGGCCACTGTAGAGTCCCGTATCCTTGCCCAGCCTTTGAGCTTTCTTGAGCTCTTCTTCTTCGGGACTCTGCAGCCGTGACTCAGCTTCCTTTATAGGCGTCAGCGATTCTGACAATTTCCTCTTTGTCGTTTGGACCTCAGGCCCCCTCTTGGCTTTCTCATTTGAGATGGCTTCCAGGACCTCATACTCTGTCATCACGGGAATGATCTTCACTGACTGGGGGACCCCTCTCTCCATTTTCTGACGAGTTTCCAAAGTGGAGTCGGACACTCCTTTATCCCCCTCTTTAGCTTTTCCAGTCATTGTAACGATTTTTCCAGATATAGTGTCATAGGATTTTCCTAATGTGTATATTTTCTGCTTGCTTTCTTCTTTCATTTGAATTTCTCGTGACAAGTCATCAAAGCTGAGCATTTCCAAGGTGCTAGATTTTAATAGGTCGGCTGGGATGTCACCAGTCTTACTGCTCACAGTCACCACCTTGTAAGTCACAATCTGTTTCGAATCACCATCAACTACCTCAGCAGGTATTTTGTCTACAATAACCCAATCCTCTGTGCCCTATATTTGAAATATAAAAGCTAAATTAGAAATTCTGATACCTCATTCGTCAAATAAAAATCCTTTAAGAAAATCAACGTGACAGCTACATTCAGATCTGTGATGTAACTGCCTTGCGATGGTCTTATCATCTACTTATCATGGCTATAATCTTCTCTCATCTGAAATTTATAAATTACAGCCTTTAGTTCAGACAAAATTCTACATGTAGATGTGTAAGGTCATATTTCTTAAAATCTGAACATACTCTGCTGGTAAATTTTGTGAGAAATGTATTTGGATCTTATGGTAAGGATTATTTCGTATTTTGGGATTAAACAGCATTAATTAAAGTTGTTGTACAAGGTACTTAGTAGCGTTCCTTGTGTGAATACAAAAAGATAGTTTTCTATTTTAAACATATTACTACATGTCTTTGGTTCTCACAAAGAACTTGCTAGCATTCTACAGGTCTCTGTAAAAACCAATTCTATGTTTTCCATGTAGGAAAATTATACTTTGCTGTATGTGGACATGAATCCACCATAGCATTTATTGTCCAAGAAATCCTGAGTATGCCTGTGTTCCAGGTATTATAATGAAAAATTTCCACCAAGGAGCATTGTTGAAGCATCTTATAAATGATGATTTGTACAGTGTTTAATATTATTTACAATTGAAGTTCATTGTATCGGTAGTCTTTCTGCCACTCTATTTAATGTTAGGTCCCACAGGCAGAAGAAATTAAAGTCAAGAATCCTTTGTATTCAGCAGGCCTAATAACATGTGGGGACCTCTGGTAGCATGGTGCCTAAGGCATCTGACTGCTAACCAGAAGGCTGGTGGTTCAAATCCACTAGCCACACCTTGAAAGGAAGACTAGGCAATCTATTTCCAAAGAGATACTGCCTTGGAAACCCAAGGAGGGGTCACTATGAGTCAGGATTGACTCAATGGCAGTGAGTTTCGTTTGAAATAACACGTGACCAGGCAGTTGAATAGCTTAACAGGTTATAGAGGACCAATAAATCAAAGCAGAAGCAGGTAAGTGCCTTGGTTTACATTTTAAACTATGATGCTTTTACTTTCATATTTATTGTAACCTAAAAAACTTGAATCTAAAAATAGGAGTACCTTAAGAAAAAAATGATTACAGATTTATAACCACAAGCTGGTGCTGGATTACATAAAATGAATTGAAAAATAACCTCTAGGGACGTTGGGACAGTTTTCTGGAAAATTATTTGACGAGAAGTAACCACAGAGCCAGCAGAGTCTCCTTCCTGCATTTTCTTGATCACACTTGGCTAGTGGAAAAATCAATAAAGATTCAGAACTCTCAAAATCCATTAAGATCATCTAAATTAGTATCACTCAGTAAGACAGAGAGCAAAAAATTTCAATGAGATTATTATTAGAAAGCAGATTCATAGTGCTTCAATGAAAGACATACAAATATAATCAGCTCTGAATAAAAACAACAAAGAAATGCTGGAAAATGGATAACAACAATATTAAGCAAATTAAGAAAACTTCCCCAGAGACTAATCAAACATTACATACTTACCTAAGTTTTAAACAAGGAAAATTTAAGAAGGAAAGAAAGAACTAAAGGCATTTGAATGACATGAAGCCTTTGGAGCAAGTCCTTTTGGGACACTCCTTTATGTTTGTTTTTTACCTGAGACTCAAGGAATGGAGAGCTTCCTTGCTCCAAAACTATAACTTTTTCAGAAATCTCTTTTTCTTCTTTGGTCTGTTTGAATAAAGGGGGTTGGGTTGGAGAAGAGGAAGTAGACAGTTCCCAAAACGGAAAGTTAGGAAGAGAGTTTTTACTGTGCTATATATATAATCTACATATATATACATATATATATATATATGTATGTGTATATATATATATATATATATATATATATATATACACACACACACTCATTCATTCATTTTTTGGAAGAATTACTGCTTATTAATTTGAAAAACGGTCTCAAACTACCTCCATATTTAATAATTATTTTCAAAAAGTAACATGACTTTCTGACACACTGGCGTTTATATGACTCAAAGATTTTTCATTTCTGCAAACAGAATATGCAAGAGTGATAGGAAAGGTTCCTTGGCACTTGAACAGTGATTTCATGTGTCATCTCCCTCAGATGAGTAATTAAAAAAAAAAAAAAAAAAAAAAAAAAAGTGAAGACAAAAACTACTGAGGGTGTAAAGTGTCCCTCGGTGGTGCAAATGGTTAAGAACCAATGATACTGAAGTATGAAGTGCAGAAATCACTGAAGGAATTGGGGAATTAAAAAAAAAAAAAAAAGCCAAGAAATTGAAAAAAAAAAATTAATTTAGGAATAAATATCCTCAGTTCCATTGCTGACAAATATTTGATCATACTTCCAATTTATGTGCCACCTGACACAAAGTCATCAACTGCACAGAGAATCACTGCATTAGCCACTGATTTGCATATATCCTCCTAATACCTACACTGACTCCTACTGTGCCAAAATAAACTAAAAAAATACTCAAGGTTATAAGCTTTATTTAAACCTTTATAACATGGTAAAGGATTTTTAAAAGTCAATTACAAATAAGTATGTCAAATCATACTTTTAAGATGTTAATACATTTAAGAGAGAAATATTAAAGTAACTACGTCCCATTAGAACTGTAATTTTACTTTTTAATTCTGTTTTCAGTATCTAGCAAGCATAATGCACGTAGCAATATGTCAGCTACTGGACCTGTCTCTTGCACAGTGTACTTGCCACGCACTAGGGACACATAGCACACTGGAATATTAACAAACATAAAAAAAAAGATAGAAAGTTCAAGGTTTCAGGAAGAATGGAACACTTTAAATCCTACCATGGCTGGAGCAATATAATTTCATGAGAGCTATTTAAAATTCTTGTTTCTCATTCACCTACAAGAAGCTGCAGGGGAACATCCGGAATAATTCCTGATGGACCTACTGACAGATTTTGATATCCTTGTTCTTACATGCCCCCTTTTAGAAAGGAACAAGTAGGTCATTTTCAAAGGAGGAAAAAAAAACTCCCTGAGCTACTGCATTTTGGGGAAGGTATTAAAAAGATGAAATGCACCATGTGTAGTCATTAAGTGTGGATTTTTGTTTCATTTTTTATTTTCAATTGTTGCCTGTTTTTCAGAAACATGGAGGAAAGGTCAAAATTATAGGTACTTTTCAGAATAATAAGGAGCTCTGGTGGTGTAGTGGATAAGGCATTTGGTTGCTAACCAGAAAGTCAGCAGTTCAAATCCACCAGCCGCTCTGCAGAAGGAAGATGGGGTAATCTACTTCTGTAAAGATTTATCACCTCGGAAACACAAATGGGGCTTGCTATGAGTTGGAATTGATTTGATAGCAGTGAGTTTGGTTTGGTTTTGGTGGTTTTTCAGAATAACACTGCTAGGCTTCTAATCATAATCACTGAGTTAAACATTATTCCTGAGGTGAAACTTTAAAACAAAAATAAAACAGCACCAAATAGTGGTGTTTAGCATATCCTGTTATCTGACATCAACTAATTAATAAAAAATATCTATGTCCTGTGATTGAACATGTCAACACTGTCTACATTCAAAACTGTGTATGTCCAATCACAGTAAAAGGTAGCATAGGTTTGATTTTAAAATTAAATTCCACATATAAGTCAATCTCAACCCTGTTTAACAGCTAAGAGAGACATGAAGAGGTACTGATAAAGGAAAGCTGAAATCTAGAAATTTATCTTCATTAGGGTCTACAATACAGTCAAGGAGCTCTGGTAATGCAAATGGTTAACACTCAACTGCTAACTGAAAGGCTGGAAGTTCTAACCCAGCTAGTTACTCCTGGGGAGATAGACCTGGCAATATGTTTTCATAAAGGCTATAGCCAAGAAAACCTTACAGGGAAGTTCTACTCTGTCACATGGGGTCATTATGAGTCAAAATTGACTCGATGGCAACTAATAAGAACAGAATATAGATAGGATCTGGTGGTGCAAATGGTTAAGTGCTCAACTACTAGTTCAAAATAACACAACCACCACCGTGGAGTCAGATCGGACTCATAGTGACCTCTCCTTGGGTTTCCGAGGCAGTATCACTACGGAAGTAGATTGCCCAACCTTCCTTCCAAGGAGTAGCTGGTGGGTTTGAACCTCCAGCCTTCTGGTTAGCAGTCAAATGCCTTAGGCACTGCGCTACCAGAGCTCCTACTAGTCAAAAGGTTGATGATTCAAACAAATTCAGAGGTATCTTGGAAGACAGGTCTTTCGATCTGCTTGCAAAAGGCAGTAAGAGGGAAGTCAGGACAAAAGGATCAAGGCAAAGACGACACAGAGGAGTACAGTAGTTAAAGGCAATAAAGGTAACACACACACACCATCCTGCAATAATGTAATACACTCACAATCCTGCAATGGTGGCAGTAACGGTAATCTATGAGTAGATACATAGAGACTCAAGCTGAACAAAGGTGGGAAAGCAAATGGGAGTATACCCATAAATATACACAAGTTTGACAGAGGATATTTTTACATAGATAATTATATGTGCTGCAAAATTATCTACTAGTATAGTAGAGTATATGGCCCAAAGTTGTGAAAACACTTTGAGGGAATGAGTCACTTGGCATAGGGGCTCAGAACCATAGTTTTGGGAGACACTAAAGTCAATTGGGGAGTGCTGGTAGCATAGTGCCTAAGGCACCTGACTGCTAACCAGAAGGCTGGCGGTTCAAACTCACCAGCCACTCCTCAGAAGGAAGATGGGGCAATCTACTTCCATAGCGATACTGCCTTGGAAACCCAAGGAAGGGTCACTATGAGTCGGGTCTGACTCAACGACACATAACAACAACAACAACAAGGTCAACTGACATAACATAGTTCACAAACACAATGTTCTGCATCCTACTTTGGTGAGCTGTTAGTGGCCATCTAAAGTACAAACTATTAGTCTTTCCCCATCTGAAGAAGAGTGAGGGGAAAAAAAAAAAAAAAAAAAGGCAACAATTAGTCCAAAGGACTAATGGACTACAAGAACCATCAGCCTCTATGACTCTGAGATCAGAACTAGATGGTACTACCACTGCTGACTGCTCTGACAGGAATCATAATAGGACATCCCAGATAAAGTGGGAGACTACAACCAACCCCAACGCATGCTCCCTGATTATATACTAGATTGGGGGAAATAAAGAAAAGCTATAAAAGCATTTTTGGGAACAATTAAAGACATTTGAATGTAAACTGTATATCAGATTAATGAATCATGATTAAAATTTTCAGTGTGACAAAGACTATTTAGGAGAATGACCTTGTTCTTAGGGAATGCATGCTGAATTATTCAAAGTTGAGTATCCCAATGGCTACAAAGTACTTTCAAATGGTTCAGGAACAAATGCATTTTATGTTGAGATGAAGCAAAAGTAGCAAAAATCTAGGATAATCCAGATGAAGAGTATATATTTGCATTGTGCAATTCTTTGCACTTCCTGGGAAAATTTTAAATTTTCAAAATAAAAATTTTGGAAAATTAAAAAATTTGACTTTTTTTTCTACACTAGCAGATTACTGTTTAATTAAAGTGATCCCTTTTATATATTAGGATGATATCAAATTAGGAATTTATGTAAAAATAAATTTTTATTTAAAAACAATATGCTTTTATGTACCTAGCTGGGACGATAAAATGATCTTTTGTGTTTTTCATGGAACAAATAACAAAAGCTATGACTTTAATACAGAAACTGTCAAAAATTTAGAGCGTAAGCGCTCTCCCAATTTGTTCTTAAGGCTATGTATAGCATACAGCACCAACTGCTGTCAAGTTGATTTCAACATTCCAACTCATGTCGACCTCAGGTGTGTTAGAATAGGACTGGGCTCCATTGGAGTTTCAATGGCTGTTTTCTTTTTGGAAGCAGACTGCCAGGTCTTTCTTCTGAGACTCTGGGTGGACTTGAACCTCTAACTTTTCAGTTAGCAGCTAAGGGAGTCATTGTTTGCATCACCCAGGAACATCTAAGCCTATTACTAAAAAAAAAAACAAAAAACTCACTGCCGTTGAGTCGTTTCCAACTCAAAGCAACCCCCCTTGGGTTTCCGAGGCAGTATCTCTATAGAAGTAGATTGCTCAACCTTCCTTCCGAGGAGTGGCTGGTGGGTTTGAACTGCCAGCCTTCTCTGGTTAGCAGCCAGATGCCTGAGGCACTATGCCACCAGAGCTCCTAAGCCTATTATAAGACCCTCAATTAGAGATAAACTTGGATGTCAGCCATGACCAGTGCTGTGGAGAGGGGATGGAAGGAGCTGAGAGGCCATTCTCTCCAGTCCCACTCCCAAGAGGAACATAATGCCTGATCACCTCAGAGAGTTTCTTCTTCCTCCACAACTTACAACAGCTCCTTGTCGCATGCTTTGTCAAAGCTCCTTTGACCAATGTTAACCAGCCTGTTTTTAAGGAGCTCTTCTTTATATTGAGTCAAGCTCTTTCTGCATTTTCCTTTTCCCCACAGTGATGGAGCACTAAGGTATAGCCTCCGCACAGTAACACAGCACACACCTGGAAGCAGTTACTATGCTAGCCTCTGCCTCCTCCAGTCTAAGTAACCAAACTGCTTTGCTCTTCTGCAGAGGACGTATTTCCATCCTTTAATCATGAAAAAAAAAAAAAATCCTTTCCTGGGCTTATTGTAGTTTTTCTGCAGTAACACAGAAAAGACATTAACATCCAGGGAAAGTTCAGTGTATTCAGAATATTATATCCTTAAATAGATAACACACTCCTTGGGGGCTTCAAATGTCACTCTCTTAGAATCAGAAAATTTTTTTGTGGGAAAAAAAATTTTTTTAAACTAGTCTAATAGCCCAGAGTTTAAAATTCCCCTTGCCTATTAGCCTTACCATTTATCTTCTCAAAGCTACTATTCAACTCTTCCATTCAAAATGGCTACAACCTGCTGTATTCTGAAATAAGCATGGGAAGAGACTTCTCACTTTTTGTGTTTAGGGGCTACTCATTTTGTGCTTTTGTAACTTGATCCAGTATCTTCAGAACCAGCATATTCTTGCTCACTTCCAATAGAGGCAGTAGAAATTGACAAGGTGAGCCAAACAATCACAAATTATGCAATCACAACCAACAAAAGTATATTAACTAATGCAAGGATTACAATAATGAAATTTATCTGAATGTGAAATTTTTGTCACTTGAAAATCAAAAAATTTGGATGGAACTAGCATTTAGTGGTACAAGAAAAACTTTGGTAATACTTCTTACTTCTGCGTAAAAGGACCCTTTTCAAAGTAATTCAAACAGACACACCTCTTCACTTTTCAGCTGTGACTACAATTGTCATGACTATAGTGATAGTGGGGGATCTTGGTGACTTTTGATAAATGGTTTTCAAAGGAGGTTGAGAACATAATCAACAATGCATATAATTCTCTTATTTTCACTGCAAAGATCTATACAACACATTTAGACCACTGTTCAAAGGATTTTTCTCTCATTATGGCCTAAGTTCTCATTTTCTTCTAGTCTCAGTTTCCTGAATATGTATCTCACAATAAAGGGTTCCTGATAACCAATACAAATGCTAGTAAGATGCAGTTTTCAAAAACTACTTGTTTTGGAAGAGAAAGCAAGACAATATCCAACAGAAGGCAGTCAAATTAGCACTACAGCAATGTGTGGGTCCCACACAATGGGAGCCCTAATGTAACAACCAAACACTCACACTCCTTGGCTGTACATTTAATAAGGGCTTTTCTACAAGGGAGTTTTGCTTAAAAAGAAATTTCTGGCCCCTACTTTTGCCATTAAAATCAGGTGAGACACAGATTTTCCACTCAACAGAAAAAGCCTGGAATGGAATTTCAACTACACCTGAAATACTATCAACTTCACATCACCATTCAGTCAAGCCTTCATCTCAATTGGGCTCATCTTGTAATTGATGAAAACATAGGAGTATTCAGGACATTTGTTAATGCAGCAAAAGAAAATATATTCAAGAGAAGAGTCAGTTCATTAGAATAGTGTCTCAGTTTCTCCCTGCTGTAAAATGTAGGTTTGTGGTCAGAATAAGGATTTGCAGTGGAGCCTCCCACTTCCTCGTTCACTCTAAGCAGCACCTGCTTGTGATTAGTCACTCCTAAGCCACCTAACCACTTCTTTGCAGCCTTCCTTTGGAGCACCGAATCACTCATTCAGGTTATACACAGATAAGAGGTAAGATGCTCTACTCTGAAGCTCACCAAATCTTTTTCCCCAGTTCTAGACCCTGTAGGGAAGGGAGGCTCGTGAACAGAAGACAATTGCAACCCAAAGCTGCAATACTAACCTCTTCAGGCACAAGTGGTTCAATCATGGGTGCGTCCTCCTGCCTGGCAGCCAGTCTCACTGGGGACGTGGAAAGCCTTTTTTCCCACTCGTTTGCTGTGGCCGTATCTGTGGAGGTTTCTAAAAAGGTCCTTTTCAGCTCACTAATGTTGGTTTGATGTTTCATTAGGTCATCTTGAGTTTTATCTAGCTCCTATATTTGGAGAATGAAGAATCAAAAAGTCAACATGTTACATCTTTTTTCTTCCTGCCCTCTCCCTTTGTCTTCTCTCTTAAAGTAATGCCAGTCTCATCAGTAGTTAAAGTAAAACAGAATTTTGAACATCAGGGCTTGTAACACTACTACAATGACTCTGGTGAAAATGTGATTATTTCCAAGGACAACAAACAAACAAACAAATTAGTTCACACAAGCATAAAAATCAAAACAGTCTTAAAAATTATAAAGAACACAATTCACATGTACCGAGAGAGAATTACATACACACACAGGAAAAGGGATCTACATCTAGGAGGGAGGAAATAGAGGAAGCTGAGGAGTTAAGTTCCACCCCCACATCAACAGGTGAGAACACACAGTGCATGCAGCAAGGGGCGAGCCCACAGGTATGCCACTAAAAAATCACCACACACCAACATGCACTGGTATGTACCGATACCAACCTCTAACATAAGATTACTATGTTTGACATACACATTTTCACCCTTTATTCGCTTAATCAGACTATTCTGAAAAAAGTGGAGAAGAAAGGGAAAAGGTAAGGGACATGGTCCAGGAAGGAACAAATGTCATCCTACAGATAGCACCAGTGAGAGGGTAACTGGCTATTGAGCATGTTCAAAGATTTGAACACTGTAGACAAACAATGACTTATCACACGATGGTTTTTGTTTTTGTAAAATTTTCTACCTGTGCCTTGAGCTCTGCATCTTCCTCCTGGTCCGACTGCCAGCATCAAGAAAGAGTGGGAAATAAAGCCTTACCATGCATTTTATTGTAAGACTGAAGAATTATGGTCTATATAAACTTGCTAAATGTGGACACCAGTTTCCACTGCATGTGCACTTCTTATGTACAAACCACAGCATTCTCACACACAAATGATAGGAATATGTGAACAGAAGATTCTCTGTTCAGTGGGTCTTGGACATTTTAGCTTGAAGACTTCCAAGGGTGACAGGATCACGTACATAGAAAGATGGCAGGCTGCAGTTAATGAGTGTTAGAAAGGATTCAAAAAGTGTGATGAAGTGGATTAAAATAATTTATAGGAATGGCTAGATCACATGACAATGAGAACTCCCTGGCATTATTATTTGAACCCTCAGAAATTCTGTGACGTAGCGCTTTGTCCCCATCTGCTAGACCAGATAAACCAACGTGCCAAGAATTTCACAGGGTTCCCACATTTAAAAATTTCTTGGAACCTTGGATTTCATAAACCTATATAAATAAAAACAAACTGGGAAACTGAGATGGACTTAATAAGGAGGTAGTTTTTTTTTTTTTTTTTTTTAATGCCATCACTTCTTTGGGCTACAAAAAGTAAACAGGACATTTTCTGAGTTTTTTAAAAAATACACTAAGTTGATCTAAAACTCAATTCTCCTATTTCTCTAATTTCAAGGACCTATCTAGTCCTTGGACTCACATCCAAGTGCCAATTGACCAATCTGAATATCCATGCAATGGTAAAGCTATGTCTCTTACTTCTGAGCTACAAAGGGATGTGCCAGGGAAATCTTAGAGAAAAGCTAACTACCTGAGTGAGTGGCCATAAGGAACTCACTGAATCTATCTGGGTCTCAGTGTTCTTATCTGCCAATGGGGACAAGATTGCCTGCTCTGCCTCTGCCATACTACCCTTCTGCTACCCTAGCTACCTGGGTAGGAGAAGGGAAAGTGGTTAAGCAGTGTTATAGAGCGCACAGATAACTTTTACACAGAGTTGGGGAGATCCTAATTCTTTGCTGTCTGGTAGGTTCACAGTTGTTCACTTTAAGCTTCACAGTCCATCTAGGTTACATGTATTTGCTTGTATGCATCATGTTATATGATAAATTTAAAGCTACTATACAAAAAGGGAGTTCTGGTAGCGTAGTGCCTAAGGGATTTCACTTCTAACCAGAAAGCTGGAGGTTCCAAGCCACCAGCCACTCCTTAGAAGGAAGGTTGGGCAATCTACTTCGGTAGAGGTATCGCCTCAGAAACCCAAGGAGGGTCGCTATGAGTCGGATACGACTCCACGGCAGCATGTTTGTTTTTTTGGTTTTTTATATAAACAAAGAATTATTAAAATATTTTGTTTATACACATTAGGATTAAAGGGAAAACTTCCTGTGTCTACTGACATGAAGCTACATGTAACCAAGCGTACAAAATCCTGATATAATTGTTATATTTAGCATAGTTATTAGCTCACAATAAATTTGTGTGTGATTACTTAAAAGAAGCTGGGTAATATTTTTTAAATATTAATTTTTAACTTTTAAAAATGATGATTTCCAAGTCCTGAACTGATCTCTGGGATTTCCAAAGGAAAAAACTTAATGAAACACCATTATGAAATGCTTTTCTGGAGATATGTCAACAAAATGATGAATAGATACTACTTGCAATATTTTTAGTTCTTCCTAAAAAAAAAAAACCAACTAGAAAATGTTGTTAGGATTGGATTATGTAATAATAGTAATAATATGAACAGCCTAAACAAAGTAAAAAATAAATAAAATTTGCTAATGCTTCAGGAAATAAACATCTTGACTTTTATTACTATAAATACAGTTTTTACAGAAATTTTACTAAGTACTGGTAGAGAAGATTTGAAAAACACCATCTCTCACACACACACAGTACCAAAAGAAGTAATGAAGGAGATATTATAGCAAAGTATGTCTCCTATCATTGTTCAAAGTGACTATATATTTTTTTCAATAAAATACTAACCAGTCATTTGCTAATTATCTTTCCTCGAAAGAATTCGTTTCTTGTAAGTGACTTAGGCCACATCCAGTCTCACAAAATTAGTTAAGAGAAATACTATTGCTTTCAACAATTTTTACTTAGCCATGTAGGATTTAAAATTATATCCATACATATGCAATCAAAAAACTAAATTGTGATTTGTATTCCCCATTCATCATGGCTACTTGAAATAAATAGCCACTTACTTGGGACAGGGAAATACATTTAAAAAATTAAAAGAAAAAAAAAAACTACGTACATATAAATTATTTTAGGCAAGTGGCTCTTAAAATGGGACCCTATGATGATCAGAGTCAGCCTCACCTGGGACTTGTTAGAAATGTAAATTCTTGAGCCCCACCCAGACCTTCTGAATGAGATAAGGCTGCCCTGATCCTTCAGGTGATTTTGATGCAGATCAAAGTTTGAGACACTGGTCTAGGTAAGGGGACATATTGGCATAGTGCCTAAGGCATTTGACTGTTAACCAGAAGGTTGGCAGTTCAAACCCACAAGCCACTCCACAGTAGGCAGACAGGACAATCTACCTCTGCAAAGATTTACCACCTCAGGAAACCCAGAGAGTCACTATCAGTCAGAACCTACTCATTGACAGTTTGTTTTTTGTTTTTTTTGGTTAAGGTAGCTAGGAGCTCTGGTGGTACAATGGTTTAAGCATTTGGCTGTTAACCAAAAGGTCAGTGTGGCCAACCCACCAGCTGCTCCACAGATAAAAGATTAGGCAGTCTGTTTCTGTAAAGATTTACAGCCTTGCAAACCCTCTGCCCTACAGGTTCGCTATGAGTCAGAACTGACTCCATGGCAGTGGGTTTAGTTAAGTTAGATTTATCTCCACTCCCAAAGCTAACCTGTAAGTTCTTTAGTGCAGAGTCCCCCACAAGGCATTTCCTCCAGGCAACTCCTGCCACCCCTAGTCTGTCTGGATACTAACCTCTGTGGCAGTCGTCTCCCCATCAGCTGCAGTATCCGTCTGCTCACTGTCAGTCTATTGATCACACAAGTGATCGGGTTCCAGGAGGAAGGCAGGAATAGAAAACAAACCGATCCTGTTACACACAGTATGGCACAGGTCTGATAATTCACTCCCTTTCTCTGTGATCTGCATCATACTACCTTCCCACAAGAATGTAGGTTCAAGTAAAAGCAAAAGAAAGGCCAGAGCTAGGGTCACTCAACAGAGCAGACTCAGAGGAAGACTCAGGCACATGCAGCCTTCAGGGACCGCATTGGCCAGATCCACCTGTCCCATTTTATACCTCAGGAAAACCAATTTGACTTTCTTCCCTCCCCTTTTAACTAAAACACCCCAAAAAGATTTCCTATAATCTTTAATGCAAATAAAATGGATGTTTAAATATATTTTTTAATCCCAGCCAAATGTCATATTTGAAAGGTAAATTAAAATGTAAATTTAAATAAAAAGCTACTATAACAGTCACCTTTCAGCCCCTCATTTATACCACTTTGGTAATTTACATCCATTTATGACCATCAGGATGTCTGCATTACCTGTTAATTATAAAAAACACATGCCAGGAACTCACCAGCATATGTTTTATATACGAGCAACGTAACTCAATTTTCAAGTAGCACTAACTAGGTACTTTTAGGATTATATGTTGGATTTCTTTTGCCCTGCCCTTCATATAAAAAGGTATATCAACGTATGTAATAAAACATCATGTTCCAAAAGTACTATTCAAATGAAGCAAAAAAAAAAAAAGATAAAAATCAACAGAGAGACATCTACTTGGGAGCAAATAAAACAAACCACAGCATTGACAGGGCCAAAGCTTTGAGGGGAGAGTCAGGATAGTGACAATTTCAGAACGAGTTTTTAACTTGTTTCATAAGGGTTTGTGATTCAAGACAAACACTACTTCACTTGACTAGAGCCATGGACATTGACATTAGAGCATCTAAGTGCTGTACTATGACAGTGAATTTTCCTGCACAAATATCAACTTAATCATTAATAAAGTTTCCTTGATCAAAGATTTGTATTTAATGTTTTGAAAATGAAAATCAAAATTGGGGCTCTAAGGTTGTGAACCTGCCTCCTAAAATGATCTCTCACTCCAAAGATCAAGGATGTCAAGAAGGAACAGTTTGGACAGAATTGTTTATATCTACATAACTCCTGCTAGGTTGAATTCTTGGCATCATCTTGGAGTTTTATTTTATATATTTATTCCTAAAAGGAAAGGAGTAGGATTGATGCTTGGCATATTCTCCCAAAGATGCCAATCTGACAGCCATGCTGCCAAGCCTAAGTGGAAAATAATTTTTAGTATGTTAGTCAAGAAACTGTGCTAACAAATTTTTCATTACCTGACTACCTCAAGTAACAACTGTGGGGAGAGAAAGGAGGAGTTGTCAATTTTCTTATAAAGGTGATCACTGCTTATGGTATTAGCCTGGATTCACTCACTGACAGCCTAGGAGAAAGGCCAGTTTGAATTAGGAAGAGGAAATATCGCAAGCTCTTTAAAAAAAAGATATAAGTATTGTTCAAGGTGTAGAGATAACTCAAACAAATCTTAGACTTTCAAGGATAACAGTAACTTTTGCTTAATGTGCTAATTGTTTGGGCCAAATAAGTAAGTCTAAAGTTCTTGGAAACACTTTTCCTGCTATGTAAATCATTTCCTTTATGGTTTTGAAATTCACATTAGTACCCATCCAGGCATCTCAGCATTAAGAATACACAGTAGTAGTTAGGCGTGAGGCTCTGAAGTTGGGGTAGCATGACCTCAAATCCTTGTTATCAATCCTGCTGTGACTCACTGGGCACAATATTTTTGACCCAGTTTCCTTCCCTGTAAAATGGAGAAAATCTCCCTGTAAAATGGAGCCCTAATCAATGGGAAAGGAGCTCTGGTAGCATTGTGCCTAAAGCACTTGACTGCTAACAAGAAGGCTGGCGGTTCAAACCCACCAGCCGCTCCTCGGAAGGAAGGTTGGGCAATCTACTTCCATAGTGATACTGCCTCAGAAACCCAAGGAGGGGTTGTTATGAGTCAGGTCTGACTCAATGGCATGTAACAACAATCAATGGGGACATTAAGTACTTTAAACCATGCCTGATGTGTGCAGAACTCAAAAATCACTATAATTGTAATATATTGATGCTAGCATGTTATATAATTATTACTACTATTGTTTGCCTAGCTATACACAAATAGTTTAGGCTATAACTAAACTCCCTCACATTTCTTACTTGGCATGTCGTCACTCAGTCAGTTAACAAGCATAGAGCCTGAGCAATAAATACTGAATAAATGAAGTAATGTAGGGTGAATAAAGCAACTGTTATTTATAGAGTAACACACAGTACATGGTACTATGTCTAAGCTCAGCAGCAAAATGTGTAACTCGTCATGGATGATCATGACATACCATGCTTACATAATTTAGAATGTTAAAAACCAGTTGACCAAATGATTTTTTCCCTCTAGATTTGAATTCATCTTCTTTTATTATGATTGTTCCTTTTGCATCATCAAAAATGACTCAAAAATCCCCCTTAAATTGTATTTGATAGTACGGAGAGCCAAATTTATCTTATGTTTCTGAATAGGTGATTTCATACTCTGCCCTTTCATATCTGACCATTCTGAAAGTACAAAAGGAAAAAAAAATTATCGGCTAACACCTTTTTAGTGTGCAATGATTAATTCTTTCTCTACTGGGTTTCATATCTTGAGAAAGGCTGAAACCAACTAAACCATTCTGACACTTGAAAAAATGTAAGCAGGATGATAAACTATTTTAAAAGTATTACATAGACACTAGTGATGTAACATGTGTTAGGAAGTCACCCAGTTTAGCTGCCAAAGTGCTTGAAGCCTAGAGAATAAAATAGGCCATGAAAGCAAATGGCATTTTGTTTTCCCAAATGGATGACCTAAATATGAATTCTCTATCTCAACTTGAACTGGAATGCACAGCTCCTAACACTTGGGGTTACGAGATGACATTGAGCAGATGGCCACATACAGAATTTTATGGCACGAGAGCCCTGACAGAAATGTCATCGGCTCACCCGGCTGGAGAAGAGGGTTAGGAAGACTGCAGCTGCCAGAGCTCATGGCCTCATAGGTTGGGAATAGGTTATGCACTGGACGCTCCAGCCACAAGTTCACTAGCTTATAACAATTAACTGCTGTGATTTGTTTTGCCAATGTAATGCAGACATGCCCAAGTTTAACATTAATTCTCATGCACTGATTACAACAAGATGTACACCCTGGATTAGGCACAAGATCTGTGTGGTTTGCTATATAAGAGTTCCAAACAGTTATTTACAATTTAGAAAAGCAGCAATCTTTTTGATTTATGTTAGCTCGATGACTAAACTCCATTGATACAGGAAAAACTTTATTTCCAAGTTGGAAATCAGCTAATACTATAAATTATAATTACTATAATACTATAAAATATGTAGATAATAAAGTGTTCTTAACTGTAGTATATTCTAGGCCTACATTGATAATATGGCCACTGTGAGAAATAGTGATATTAAAGCCCAAGATTTAAAGCAGCTGTTTCTTAAAATACATTTCATGTATGGAAAGTAGTTATATATGTATGTAAAATATCTATCTCTCTCAGTTCCAGGTAACAGTCATAGGTGTCCCAAGCACCTTGCAACTAGCCCTCATGCACGATCATGTTCTAAGCTTGAATTTAAACACCTGTGAAACCATTCACATTTTTTTCCTTCTTGCTGCAAAGAAACGATCATAATGCCTCTAAATAGATACTTATAAATTCCTGCAATGTATATACTCACAGGTGTTATTCTAATTATAACTTGCTAGCTGAGCATAACAGGGAATAGACTTTCCCTTTTCTAGTCTTGCCTTGATTTGTGATTTTTTTTTTTTTTTAATTAAATGGTGAGCATATTTGGCTTGTCTTCTGCCCCAGGGAAGTTTGAGGGGGTCTGGGGAGAGGAGTAGACAGGAGACATGACCACCCAATAACTCTGTGTGGCACCAATTCTTCCTTTCTGAGCGCTGTTTGAAGCTTGTAGGGAGGGAAACTTCCAGGCTGTTCATATCCCAGTGGAGTGGGGGTAAAGGTAGGCAATGAAGAGGAGGCACTATCAGCCACCACAATGACTTCCTGAGCTGCAAGGTGAGGACAGGAAGCCAATGGACGGCATGACTCCCAAAGTGCAGAGGTAGACTTGAGGCCTTCCCTCCAGAGGCCTGTTGGTCTTTCCTGACTTTATAAAACTGCCCAAATGTGTGGACTCTGGGCTCATGCAGGAGTTGAAAGAATTGCTGGCATCTAATATATGCACTGGCATTGCTGGTACCAATGGGATGTCAACCCATAGGTAGAATGTAGAGAAACCTCAAACAAGTCTCTGATATCTCGTCTCTGAAGACTACTGTGCACAGTTCTTGCTGGGACTGTTTCTGGCTCCAGTGCTTACTGATGTCATGTGAGTACTATAAATTGGTCTTGACATTCTTTCTGACCCAGCACACCCACTGGACGTGATACAACTCTGTGAGCTGCAATGAGAGTCTGACAGTAACAATCAAGAGGGCAGTTGGGGGTGTTTTGGAACCTCCAGGGAGGAGATGCATGTATGGTTTTAAAAATCTATCCAGGTGAAGAGGAGCTCTGGTGGCGTAGTGCCTAAGGCATTTGACTGCTAACCAGAAGGCTGGTGGTTCAAACCTACCAGCCAGTCCTCAGAAGGAATGTTGGGCAATCTACTTCCGTAGTGATACCATCTAGGAAACCCAAGTAGGGGTCGCTATGAGTCAGATCCAACTCCATGGCAGTGAGTCTGGGTTTCCCCCCCACACACACACTGAGTTGAAGATGGTCTCTTTCCTATGGTGGGGTCTTCTTCCCTTGCCCCATGAATATCAAGTATTGTCACATCAGAACGTTTTTTGGTAACATTCCATAAAACTCATCAGAGTTCATCTCTCTCTTATGTTATTTACTTTGTTAAAAGACAGTATCATTTTACCGATATTAATACCGTTATAAATCACTATAACCACACAGAAATCTTTAACTTAATCCTGATTTTCCACATAACTAATGAGTTATTTAAAATTGGCTTCAGCCAAGTCCTCACCACACGTGTCACTCGGTGGGCAGCAGACTGCTCCATACACAAGGTGTTGTGCCTAACCCTGGGGCCCAGTTGTACTCCCCACACACACACAACCTTTCCACATGTCGGCACAGACAATAAATGAGGCTCTGAAAGTAGGACCACTATCGCAGCCACCACCTAACATCATTTCGGACTGAAGCACCGAACACGAAGGGAGTGTGTTCTATGCCGAGGTACACACCTCTTCCTCTGAACTGTCACTCGGGTCATTGTCTAGTGAGGCAGTCAAGGAGGCCGCCTTGGGCTCCAGGTAGCAGAGGCACATAGCCAGAGGGAAGGAGAGAGTGAGGGCATATGGCACTGAGAAGGAGGCGGAGAGCAGAAAGAAAAAGATGAAGAGGAAGCAGGGCACAAGGGAGGGAGAGCGGATCGGGAGGTAATGCTGCAAGCTCTGTGGGAGGAGGTTGGATTCAGAGAGGCTGGGGAAAGAGAGGTACCCATCATCATCTAGAAGAGAAGGAAATGACTCAGGGAGCTGCAAGGAGAAGGAAAACAGGGTAGTCCCTCTGCCGGCTGGCTGTGTGTAGCTAAAAGCCACATCTGGGTTCCCCAGGTAGGGCTTCCCTTTGCCTTCAGTGTCCAGGGCAGGCTCACCGCGCATCTGCACGGGGTCTTTACAGGGCTTGCAGCCTGCAGGCTCGTGGTCCTTCTCCTTGCATCTCTGGCGGAGCTTTGTGGGAGATGCAGGGGGGCTACATGCTGATGGTGGTGACAGGGAACATGAGTCAGTGCTGAGCCTGGGTGACTGATGTGAGAGAGACAGAGACAGACAGCAGCAAACAGAGGTGCAAAAGGACAAAAAGAAAACTGCAATTAGTTAATTTTCTTATGGGTATCAATATAAAATTGTAAAACAAGAATTTTAGCACAAGGGTTGTTGCTCACAGGTTTTCAAGTACTCAAGCTACATGTCAAAGTTGCCATGAATGGTTACAATTCTCCCATGAGACCATCAGATATATGTTGGGTCTTTTTAAAAAAAAAAAAATCAGAAGTTTACATATTTCGCACAATTTAAAAATTTCATTTTAGACCAACAATTCTAGAAAGTTGTAGGGTCTTAAGAGCAAAAAATAACTCTGGACAACTTAAAATGAGGACTTTCAATAACCCTTTGATCTTCTGCTCAAAGATTTGTCACTGCAGTTCAGTTGTTTTAAAGATAAAAATGAAATCCAAACTTTGATTCTTTTTTAAGTCTTTAGCATTAGTCTCTTCCTCGGTTAATCAATTACATCCTTGTAACATGGGGTTCCAAATCAAAGTGTTTCTGGCCCCACTCCTGTCTGATAAACAGTTATGATCAGAGACTTCAACAACTAGCATTTTAGGAACCCTGGTTCCTCATAAAGAACTGACGTTCCTTTGAAAACTTCTGTATTGGCGCCTTCTATCTATGACATAAATGGAACTTAAAACTAAAACAAGTGGGTCCAACACACTAACCAGCAAAAGAATGTATTTTCTTGAAATATTTTCTATAAGTATTTACTTGGTATTATTTGTGGTCCACACAAAATATAAAGATACCAACTTTGCAGCCTTTTGATTTTTTTTTTTTTAAGTGCAGATAAATAGCACATTTAAATCCCTTCGTTTGAACCCTTAATACAATGGTAAAAGCAAGCATTCTCATAAAAGTGCACCCATGTGAGCACAGGTTTTTGTGGAGAATGTCAGTTTAGCTCCCATTCTATCTGGACCCCATCAGTCTCAATTACCAAAGCCACTTTCATGTAAAGGTGGTGCAAGGACCACTGAGAAGGAAGGGGAAGAAAGAGAGCAGGTAAACGAACTCTGAACATAACCTGAGCAGGCACTGTTGCCTCTACAGTCTAGGGAGTTCATAAGGTCAGAGGGACCCTGGAGATAATTAGACTTCTGCTGCTTTCTGTGAAATTGTGTGTGTGTGTGTATGTCTGCCTAGCAACCTGCTAGCATGGAAATTACCCAGCCTGCTTTGTGCCGGTTATCCAATCCTGACTATAGAGATGGAGGTTAGGAAAAAGCACAAATAAAATGGTATCATGGATGTATTAGAATTTAGAAGTCTTTTTTACTATTAGACAAGTATGTCTTTTCCCACATACTCTCATTTGTACCTCAAACACTGTGTTATAAATAGGAACCTGCACAAGTGTCATTCAACTAAGAATCCTGTAAAAGTTACAAGCCCCCTTCAGCCTGAAGACAGTAATCCCCTAGGAGGCAAAGGCTGACACAATTCCTGGGGTGGTAATTAGGCAATGATATATGTCCTCCTCTATTGAAGTAGATTACCCAACCTTCCTTCCGAGGAGTGGCTGGTAGGTTTGAACCGCCAGCCTTCTGGTTAGCAGTCAAATGGCTTAGGCACTATGCCACCAGAGCTCCACAAAAGAACTGAGTGACCAGTACTTCAAGAACTCTTTTCAGCAATACATTTTCAGTTTGGTTAAAAAATAAGTATCCTGTATGTGACTTTTTGAAGAGGGAGAAAAATAAAGTTTACATTTAATCTTCCATGCTGCTTATTAAAATGGGGTTTAAAAGACAGCTTTGCCCCAGGGGAAATAAACAGCCAACCACCTGCTGAAGTACTAGGTCTCAGCTTTCTGTAGGCATTTTAATCAAGTTGCTGGCTTCACAGAGACTCAGGCCTACCAGGGCAGTTGTTTCTTTGTCTTTTTATTTCCTGATGGCTTAAGTGGCTCAAGGTGAAGACAGCTGACTGCTACATTTTACGCAAAAACACACTGGTGGACTTTTAAAATAAAATGAAACTGCCTGGAGCTATTTTTTGCAGAAAACTAAACATCATTTACTTTTATGTGTCATATCATCATATTTATACCTCCATGAGAATCAGATGTTAGCATGGGCGATTTCAAGGAATCTGAGAATAACTAAGTATAAAAGCCACACATTTGCTTTTTAGGTACACTATCTGCTTTTCATGTCCTATTTAAAATCTGCCTTGACTGAAACAAAATGGAAGATCGTACATTTTAACAGCAAGATGATTCAAATCTCCTGGCTATCACTTTTGTGACTGCATCATTTGGATTATTAGGACTATAGAAATTAAATATTTTTTGATATATCCATCAAGATGGCACTATCAAATGCTTGTCAAAAGGAACATTTTTCTATAGAATCACAGGTGGTGTGTCTCTGCTTCATAAATAATCTACATTTCAAGAACTCATGTGCTGTACTTCTGAATCAACCTTAGGCAAGTTTTTGTACAACCTACAGGTTATACAAATATTATTATGTTATTTCCTTTTGCTCTGTACTCTGGACATTCCAAGAGCCACTCCCTTTTCCCATTATTACCATATGTATAAACTCTCAATGTGTTGTTTGACTTTTAAATTATTATTCTGAAAAGTTGCCCTCTAGTGCCAGATATCAAGATCACCAGAAATAAACATAATGATTAAAGAGAAATTTAACTCTAGGTGAAATGATGTAACAAAATATAATGAATAAAACATTTGGAGAAATTGCTCCCAAATTCACTCTCTATCCTCCTTTGCAATCTTCTACCTTAAAATCAAACAGGACCACACACTACTTTCATAATTAGATTATAAAACTGAGAAAGGAAACAGTATATAATCACACAGCCAACAGTCACTCACAGTAGTCAGAAGATGGCAATGTGATGACTGTGTATCTAGAATAGTATACAGTACTTAGGCAGGAGAATAGGGCCAGAAACAAAACAGCTTTCGTGAAAGTTCTGAAGTGTGAGCCAAAATGGAAACATGTCATTGTTCAGTAAGAGTATTTTCAAGATACACATACAGGGCAGCTTTTGATAGTCTCAGAAAGCACATCAGTTGTTAAAACAAAACAAAAAATTCAAAAAGAATCTTTTCAGAAGATAAATGTTGAAACAAGAATAATACCTTAAAAACTGACAATATGAATGTAGCCAAGGCTGAACTGAACTATGAATTACTGCGTCTTAACACATTCTTGCTTTACAGACTCAGAATTATTTAGTAGCTTTAAAAGTCTGCACGAGCTGGAGCAGGCAGCTGGGAGATATACCTTTCCCTCATGCCGTACTGCCGCGACGGGCGTGGCTTCCTCAGCCTTTTTTCGGCGGTCCTCTTCTTCGTCGCGCTCCTCCTGGGCCTTTTTCTCGGGTGTCACAGTGGTGATCAAGTTGGTTTGAGAGATGCCCTTTGTTGCAGCGTACTGGCCAGTACCAACCTCTGCAGCAGACATAGAATCCTTCATGTATATTTCATGGTTTTCATTCACTGATGCTAAAAGCAAATACAATTGAAGAGATAAAATCTGAAATAGTTAATTAGGAAGACAGATAACAACACCAATTAACCTACTACAGGACAAAAATAAAATACCAGGACAAAATGCCAGGCATGGCTTGAAAACTGATGGAACTCAGCCCTGCATATATCTTCAGCTAAACGCCAGCACAGACTCAGCTTTCCTTATCACCTGTAACAGTGTTGGAAATTCTTTAAATGCTTATCCTTTGGAGCCACTAGAGTAATTCCCATCATTCCCAGGCTTTCAGGTGAGGAGGTATCAGAGGGTGGGTATAAGTAGAAGGAGATGAGGCTGAGCTGTAGCCATGCCTGCTATCCCACAGAGAAATGGGCTGAACACAGGTGTCAGCCACCTGGTAGCAACTTCCACAACTAACTGTGGTATCTGCAGTAGACAACCATTAAAGTACACTCATCTCTGAGCAAAGCATTGTAAAGCTATTCACCAAAAAACACTGAATAGCTTTTTGTTTTTGTTGTTTTTATTAATAATGGTTGAAAAATCTATTATTCCTAAATATGCCCCATGAATTATGAAAATAACTACATTGGCAGAGACTCAAAAATTTAGATAGCAACTCTTGTTCAACTAGAGTCCAGAAATATTTTAACTTCTACTGTGTTATGCACACAATCATCTCTAATATTTTTGGAGAAAACAAGACCAAAGTTGCTAACTCAAGTCCATGCAAAAGCAAAACATGCAAACATAAGAGGTAGAAGACACAGCCTTTCATTACAGCTACAATGTCTTAGTGAAACAGATTCTTGATTCAGGTAAGTTTAAAGAAAATGTAGTACTCATGATTTGAGGTTTTAGGTATCATAAAATTTATTTAAGTGTATTAAATGCTGCTTTTCAAATACACAGTTACTAATTATAGGCAAAATTAAAATCTGCATTCATATTTTAGAAACTTTGAAACATAAATATTAGAAAGGATTCTGGAACCTTTTTTTAGTAGGTAAACCACTTCACTAAGCACATGCCTGTTCATATAGAATAATCCTATATTTTACATCTCCTTATACTTATGAAAAAGCTCATGAGAGAGCTCCCTAAGGGAGCAGTTAGGCTTTTCTAAGTAAGATGCAAGCTTGCAAAAAGCAGTTTCTGTTCCACCAGGCAGCCATGACATCCAGCTCAGCAGCAGCAGAACACATACGAGAAGTGGCAGTTCCCCAAAGAGTGAGAGACAACACATACTAACATCACTTTTGGGCAGGGAGGAAGAGACAGGACAGAATTAGTACATTTATTTCACAATTGTCTTCTGTCTTCTCAGCAGTCATTAACACACAGAGGTCATTAGGAAAACAACATTCACAACAAATGTGTTCCCCTGTGTGCACATCACTAAACAAAGTGCATGGTATTAAGGAAAAAAAAGGTCTGATTCTACAAAAGCTCCTTGAACATTTACTTATAGAACACAGGCCAAAAAAAAAAAAAAAAGTTAACTTAGATTCTCTAAAGAAGAAATAAGTAAATGGAACAAAGCAGAAAGAAAAACTAAATGTTAATACAGATATTGCAATATTTTAATTCAACTATAAACCATCCTAATAAATATGTTATTCCAAAAGTTTGGCTCTAAGTTAGGTATCCTGAATATAGGGAACACTCAGAAGATATACCAAAAACCAAACTCACTGCTGTGGAGTCAGATCCAACTCATAGCGACCCCTACTTGGGCTTTGGAAGCACACTACGGAAGTAGATTGCCCAACCTTCCTTGCAAGGAGTAGCTGGTGGGTTTGAACCGCCAGCTTTCTGGTTAGCAGTCAAATGCTTTAGGCACTATACCACCAGAGCACCCCAGAAGTTATACAGTGGTAATGAATTTCCTGGGTCAGTCCAAAAAACCCTCTGAGAACAATGATTGTAATTACTGTTAAATAAATGGCAAGGGTACCTTCACATATATTGGTGGTCTTACCCCGTCTTACAAATGATGACTAAAAAGGAGACCTGGAGAGTTTAAACCATTTGCCACTATCACACAGACAGAGGGCAATGGTAGAAAAGCCTGGATTTGAATCTGGATTTAGCTACACTATGTGAGGGTTTGTTCCACACGTCACTAGCAATATCCATGGAGTCCCTGGATGGTGTAAATGGTTAATGTGCTCAACTGCTAACTGACAGGTTGGATGTTCAAGTCTACCCAGAGGCACCTTGGAAGAAAGGCCTGGCAATCAACTTCTGAAAAATTAGCCACTGAGAACCCTATGGAGCACATTCTACTCTGACACATTAGGCGCCACCATGACTCAGAGTCAACAGACAGCAGCTGGTAGTAAACATCTATAACATAGCTCTAATGATACAATTTGACTTTCTCTATACACTGTTTATAAAGTATTCCATTAGAAAAACACAGGAAAGATTCAGGGAGTACACTGCTTGAATCATTATGAAGGGGGAAGGGAGAATTGAGACTCTAGGAATAGTGGCAACAAAGGTAAGGAAGACAATCCCAGACACTTGTAACCACTATTTATTTATGTTTTTGCTTACTTTTAAAATCATACAAATGGCAAGAAAATTCTAACTCTTTGTATCTGCACAGGATAGTTCTTCTAGAAAACAATTAATCTTCAGATGCTCTGAATTAGGATACAGTGGCACAGACAGAGAGGTTTGGCCATGTTGGGTCTGTAAATCTGGTACTGCTCTTGCTACCAGAAAGTGTATCTGCTTATAACCATGGACAGCAAGACAACACCATCACACAAAATAGAACAAAAACTCACTAAATACACATTCTTATATTATTCCTTAAGAAGGTTAATTAAATGATTTATTTCCCTGTAGATGACAGTACTTACGCATTTGACTTAATAGTAAAGAATACTTACAGAGCAATGTCACCCACCCCAACACAAATCATTTTTAATATTAGTTAGGAGAATTTAACTTATAGTCCTTTGCTGTAATTTGAGACATCTCTTCTACTAGCTATTATTTGACTGATGTAGGGCACATTTTATTCATAAACTTTTTTATAAATGTTGTTGTTGTTGTGTGCTGTTGAGTCAAACCCGACTCATAGTGACCCCTTCCTTGGGTTTCTGAGGCAGTATCACTATGGAAGTAGATTGCCCCATCTTCCTGCCAAGGAGTGGCTGGTGGATTTGAACTGCCAGCCTTCTGGTTAGCAGTCAAGTGCCTTAGCCACTATGCTACCAGAGCTCCCTTTTTATAAATAAATAAATTTAACTTTCAGCTTTCTTTCTGAAACAGAGTCTGAAGCAAACCTGCTAATCATTTAGGATTTGCCAGTAGGAGAATTAAATTACATATCCACAGAGTATATGACTACTGTATGTGGGATGAGGACATCTTCTCCCAAATTCAGGGTTCCAGCCTATGAAACCTGTGTTCTTTAGTCTCTCAACATCATTCTTTTATGTATTTTTATATAAATCTCCAACAACTGAAATTAGGCTAATAAAGGCATTTTTTTTTGGCTTAAAAACTAGTCATCCAGCCATAAATGAACAACTATATTTCAATTCACAATATACAAGAATCTACATTACTAAAGCTGATATGATTTTACACGTTTTTCAAAAGTTCATAATGGTTCCATATTCCCGTTTGCATAGCCACGAATGATTGGCAAGGGCCAGTTAGAGAAGCCTACCTCCATCCAGGCTGCGAGACATGGTATAACGTTTGCTGGATGAGCGCTCGAAGTACGGGGCTGGACGATCTATCAGTGCACTGGCTCTCCTTGTCTGGGCTTGTGTTCTGCCACTATAACGAAACTTGGAACCCAAGGTAAGGAACTTCTTTGGAGGTGCTTCTGGTAACAACAGTCTAAAGATTATTAGGGGGTGGGGTGGGGAGGAAAAAAAAGATGATTAATTTCTTACTCTGTTATGAGAAGAATCCCTGGCACTCTACTACTAACTGAAAGGTTGATGATTTGAACCCATTCAGTGTCATTGCTCTGGCAGCGTAGTGCCCAAGGCACTTGACTGCTAACCAAAAGGCTGGCGGTTCAAACCCACCATCCACTCCTCAGAAGGAAGATGGGGCAATCTACTTCCATAATGATACTGCCTCAGAAACCCAAGGAGGGGTTGTTATGAGTCGGGTCTGACTCGAGGGCACATAACAGCAAAAAGAGTGTCATTGCAGAAGAAATGCCCTGGAATCTAATCCATAAAGATTACAGCCAAGAAAACTTGCTGGAGCTCAGTCCTACTGTGTAACAACTGGGGCTGCCATGAATTGGAATAGATTCAATGACACCATTTTTTGTTTGTTTTGTTTAATGGGAGGTAAAGTCCTTTGTGTGCTAAAGGTTTAACACACAACTTAAATACCTGAGTTTATAAGCAAATAATCAATTCACAGTATGTGACAACTGGGGTTTATAGAGGGCACAAAAGCAAAACAGGGCTTGTATTGGACTGGATGAACTTTAACACCCCACACAACTGTGAGAGTCTATAGTTCAATTAACCTCACAGAAATGATATTAATCAAGAACAGTGATTCAGTGTTATCTTTAGGTGCAAGTTTTATGGTCTATATGTGAGCAAAGGAGTCTAGAGTATTGAGAAATAACTGAAGTAGTAGGGAATGGGCTGGATACTTAGAGTGGACACCTTATATAAATAGTAAGGAGATTCAAGAGATAATAAAGAAAGGGCTGATGAGATAGGTAAGGAAAATCCTTCAAAGTTAGAAGTCCTTTTAGGATTCTTGTCAAGAAATCTAGTGACAATGAACTTGAAGTAACAGAAAAGGCATCTTTTTACATTCTTCTTCTTCCCATCAATCTCTTTCCAATCATTCCAATTTTCCATTAGCAAAAACTCAACAAGATTTCTACCTACCTGAAAAACGTATGGTGTTCAACACACACTTTCCATAAACGCTTGGCAGCTCGATGATTTGGCAGCTTAAACCCAATCGTGCTTTCAAATTGTTCAAACTAAATTTAAAAACATTTAAGAGTAAAGTTTGGAATTATGAATAACATGGAAGCTTTGCAAAATCAACAGCACACAAAATTTTTCCTCCACAAACTAAATTGCTATACACAGAATTCATGCTTTAATAAAAAAAAAAAACCTTATTATGTATGTGTCCTTGAAATTCATAATATTATAGATAATTACATTATGAACACAGTAAATGTTCATACATGATACAGATTTTACGAAAACTAAATGGGCTGTTCACTGGATTTCTCTCCAGAGTCCAATCTGTTCTGATCTCACTTTGAAACTTTATTTTTATGACATCATAACTTCACTTACAATGTATAGAAATGAACAAAACATTAAAAGATAGTTTGTCATAGTCTTAGGAATCACTTCTTCTCCAAATATATTGCCAACAAATATTTATATTTCCTAGGTTGTTGATGATGTGGTTATCAGACATTATTGATTTTATTTATGGGCTCCAATATGGATTATTCATGTTAAATGCTATTATTTCTCTGTATTATACATAAGATCAGCATGCATATTTCACATGATACTCTTATCAGCCATGCGGATTTTCAAGGTGAAATATCTGATCTAGTTTCCTAACACATTTTACTATTATTACTGCAGATGCTCCATAACTTTTTATTTTCTGAAGACAGTATACATCAGGCCACCAGAGGGCAACCATCTTAAACAATAAAGGCTCTTCAAAAGAACACAGACCCACCAGACTGATACAATCAATAGCAAAACAACTTATGTGGCAAAGAACCAAGGTGAAAGGTCCCATGCAGGGTACGTGGGAGACTATCATGCTTGACTCCCGTTTATTTAGGATGGCGGGAAGAGGGTGGTGGTGGTGGGGGTGTTGTGCAAGACATTACAGGCTGCTCCAACTGCAATACCTTCCCTAATTTCTTATTTACTCAAGATGCTCATCTGTAGTGTAACTATTTGCCAATGGACCTAGCAATGGACAAGCCAGAAGTACTATGGAACTTGACTGAATTATCACCTATTGATTATTCTGTATCTAGTACATACCATGTACTGGATAGTAAGTATGTATATATGTATCTAAGTACATGCTACATTAAAGCCAAGGTTTATAAACAAAAGTAAAACTCATTCTCTGCCTCAAGAAGATGATCTTATACCTCTACCCTCTTCATCACAAGATAGACATGTGCTCCTACGCTTTTTTGAATGTTTATCTATCTCCCCGTGCTTTGTATACATTTCTTTCAACTTCTTCTGAGCCTTTGTGCCACCAATAATTTCTTTTTATTCATTCTGCTCAGCCTATAAATATGATCATTCTGCTCAGCCTATAAAAGGGGGAAACAACAACAAACTTCATCAAAGAGAAGTCACTAGCTGCTGCTTCTACTACCTCACTCCTTCCCTCACTGCAACCTCATTGCAGGTGCCCTCACATCTTCCTGAACTCCTCTCTTAAATGTTGTAATTAGATCTAATGGTCAAGAAGTTCAATGTGCTTTTCTCAGCTCTTTTCCCACATGCCTTCTCTGTACCATATGGCTGTGCTGTTTGACCACTTCCCCTGAAACTCACCTCCTCACCAATAACTGTCTATGTTCCTCCTTTTATTTCTCAAATCATTTTTCTTAATCTCCTTATGCTCCATTTCTCTTCTGTCTGTCCCTCCCTCAAATGGTAGTAGTACCTAGAGTTTTATTATAGGCCCTCTTTTCTCCAACATTATTTCCTTTTTGGGTAATTTATTACACATCTATGCCCTTGAATAAAATGTGTACAGCTGATGACTCTGTTCAAGTTCCATCCTTTTATTAGACAAGAATTACCTCCTGAAAATCTGTCCAAGAGGCATTTTAATCCTTTTTCTGGAATTCTTTCCCTTTTCCCCATGTTGTCTACTATCATCTACACATACCTTACTCATCTAAACTAAAAGCCTCTGATGATCCTGGACTTTGTCTTTCTTTTATCCCTTCTTTCATTCTGTCACCAAGACCTGGTTTTAGCTCTGAAACCTCTCTCAAATTTGCTCCCTCCATTCCTTTTCCACAGCCACTGCTCTAGCAGAGGTCTTATATATTTGTAATGAGTTTAATTCTGTTAATATACTATCCTGAAATATGCATCCAGTTATGTTACTTCCTAAAGCAAAAGCTTCTATAGCTCACTGTGGTCCACTCTAACATTTCTTCTATGTTCCCGGCTGTATACACCTAACACTATGCTCACTTCATGCCTATGGAATATGGTCACATTTGTATCATGGCATTACAATTCAAAATGTACATGTATGTTTCTCTGCTCAACAGAAATTCCCTTGAGGACAAGAACAAGGTCAAATTTATCATTCAATCTCCAAAGCCCAACATTGTGCCTGGCATTAAACAGGTGCTCATTCAATAAACAGTTAGTGAATTAAAATGAATAGATACTGGTTCATAAGTTTCACATGCAGTCTTTAAGAAATATATACACAGATATGTATATATTTAACTTTTATTGTGGTGAAAACACACAATGATACATTTGCCAACATAACAAGGTCCCCACTTACAGCTCACGGACAGTGACGACATTTTTCATGTTGTGCCACCATTATTACTATCTTTCTCTAAAGTATTCCACCACCATTTGGCATAAACTCAATGTCCCACAAACAAAAGCTGCCCCTCCCCCTCCTTCCTACTCCTGAAGAAATATTTTAAAAACACTTTAATTTCAGGTGTTTATGTACAGATTATTTTCAATCCTCAAATACAAGTGTGATTTTATATCTACATAAATCATGAATCCTTGCTTTATATTCTGATTTTTATTTTTATTGTATCTCCACATCTAACAGAGTTGCAGATTTTGAAGACAGGAGATAACGCTAAACTGTATCAGAAAATGTTTCAGAGACACAAATGAGCCAGAATCTTAGAGCTTTGACTGCCTCCATTACACTAACCACACACTTTAGAAACTGGAGATACTATCATGCAGAGAGTAACAGGTATTACTGCCTCTAATGTACAACCACTTAAAGATATAGAGGTAAGTTGATCTTGGATACTGTTGCCCAAGGATAAGGATTAGCAAACAATTCTACTCTTCCATTAGCTTCTCTGATTTGAAAAAAAAAAAAAACCTGGGATATTGGGCTATGGAAGATTTACAGAATTAGAATTCACACTTGGCGTTCTTAGTTCTAACTTTTTTTTTTGTAATTTCATGCATATTATCTCTAACCTACTCACTTCAGGATACAGCCAGATTTGTTCTTACAACAGGACAGATAGGAAGAACTCTCATCTTTATTCACAAAGAAGTTTAACAACTAAGAGTTTCTTTTACACCACAGACTGAAATATACAAGAAATTATTCATGAATCTTGAATTTATGTTAAAATATGTTTTTTTTTAAAAAAACTTTCAGTTAATGTATGCAATGGGAAAAATTGGAATAAAATAATAAAAGAGAGAATATTTTATTACTGATTATTGGACAAACCTACAATAAATTCTCTTAGGCATTTAAAAATAATTCATCATGTTCCACAAAACTCAAAATTCATGAACAAGTAATTTAAATTTCTATTTGCAGTCAGGTACCTTTCTTCCCCGTGTATAAGCAAGTACAGGCCCACTTACCTCTCCTGGCCTGATCTTAATGTAAAAGTTGTTCCGTTTGTATGAAATTTTTAGAACCTTGGGCCAGGCAAATCTGTTTATTCGAAGTCGGTCACGATATATCAATAGACCACTAGCACAAACTCCTAACATAATTTCAACTCCTTCTGAATCCTGTAAAACAACAGCAAGAAACAACAGATCACCATCTTACTTTCTTCCATGTATGGCTCGAAATAACAGCTAAGAGTCCTTTATAGAACCTATTAACTGATTACCCTCTACCTCTAATTTAAATATGAAAATACTGTAGCCATTTTTTTTAAAGTTACCATTAATTAATTGTTTTTTAATGAAGATATTTATCACCATGAAGATATGACACTTTGAATAAAATCTGCTCCCCAGGTATCTTAGATGTACGATGTAATATTCCACACACAGAAGACAGACCAGGTGAATGTGTGTTAATATAAGTAACAGCCACAGGTGTCACCTACTGAGTATCAGGCACTGCTCTCACCACTTCATAGATAGTAAAGATCTAGATCTTTACTATG